TTTTTTCAGTTGAAGAAACTGAGGAATGGAAAAGTCAACTTTCCTGAATCATCTTCTTTCTCATTTCTGCCCATCAGAATAATGACCATCATTAAAGACCTTACTCAAATATACATGGCTTTGGCATTTCTATCACAGCATGTCTGTCTCTCATCAATTTTAAATTTCTTCCAGTATAACGATAATAACGAGGACTAAAGTGAAGAAGAAGAAGAGTTGTGTGGGGGGGTAACTTCTGATTACAATTTGTCATGAGCTTAGCTGTGCATAGCTAATACATTATGTGTTATTTTAACTAATCCTCACAATAATCTCATGACCAGTATTGTTTCCATTTTACAGATGAAGAAAAAGGAAATGAGCAGGTTAAGAAAGTATACAAATCTCCCTTTTCACAACCTGCAGAACTCAGATTTTTACACAGGTCTATGTGTAATTTGATAGATAGGAAGTTCTCAGTAAATACATATTTAATAATTGAGCTAATTTAGGGAACATTTGGTATTCATGAACCAGATTTTTAGTATTTATCAATGGCCCATTAATCCCTCACTTCTTTCACAATTAAAAACCAGCTTTTATCACAAGTAGTGCTTGAAGTCCAGATTCTTTAAGTAAATAATTGTTTTTGGTCATGGAAAAAATGATCACCACTGCTGCCATTTGGCTTCCTTGTGCTTTTCTTTATTGTACTTTAAAATGTTGAAAACGTTTTTTTCAAAATTTAGTTTTTTGTTGCCAGACTTTTACTTTTTTTTATCACTTTCTTTTTTAGATACCACCCTCTCTACCATGAACTAACATTTTAGCTCGTAGCTTAAATTTTACAGATAACTAACAAGAGCTTACTTATTTAGCACTGTCATAGAACAATCACATTGAATAATGCCTTTGGAAACAAGTAGGACAGATATTACTACGTTCAGTTTAAGGATGAAGAGGTTAAGTCTCTAAGAAGGTCAGTTAGAGTCATACAGGATTAAAACACAGAGGTAGGCTTACAGGAGATTTATTGGACTCCAGACCTAGTGTTTTCGTCTGTGTTATAGGGCCTGATAATACAAAACCATCTTCTTTGTCAGACTTTTAACAGCCCACTATAAATTCTCCTATAACTTGAGTTTCTACTCCATTTGTACTGGATTGTTTTTTATTTTTATTTTTTCATTGGTTATGAATATTCATGAGAAACAAAGCTGATTGTCA